AAGGAAGGGAGCTTGCTACACTCAGGGGCAGGCCTCAGGCAGAGACTGGACGCCTTAGGCGGCTGCCCTTGCTTGCTGGGGCCTCACCTTGAGAGGCCGGTGGATGTCACAGCTGCACAGGGAGTGCAGGGACAGGCGGAATGGCTCCCAGCTGGGGTTCAGGTTGTTCTTCACCACCTTGGAGAGGCACCAGAGAGCCCGTCACCCCCTGTCTAGGTTTCCCTACTCTGCTCCTCCTCCCTCCCTCCCACAGCTCCAGGCACCAACCTCGGTCCTCCAGACCAGCTGCTCGCTCTGGTCCTCATTGGTCTTATAGATCTCGATGAAAGGGTCAGACTTGCTGAACAGATCCTGGGGACACGAGGGAAAAGGTCCATGAGCCTGGAGAGGTGTGCGGGGGGTGTGGGGGGAGGCTAATACAGAGCAGGGAGCAGGGCCGGGACTCTGGGATTTGTCTTGAGTGGGGGCCGGGACTCTGGGGGTTAACCTTGTTGTCCAGCTTGTGGGCTCTGAAGGTGAGCTGCACGTAGTCGTTGGTGCCAGACACCTCCTCAGCGACAATCTGCAAGGGGAACACAAGTGGCAGGACTCCCCCCTCCCCCCTCCCACAGGGGCCACTCTATGCCCTTTCCTTTAAGTGGGGGCCAGTCGTGGGCATGATGTTGCCATGGATGTCCATGCAGGGGCATTGAGTGCCCTGTCCAAGGGTGAATATGGGTGACCTTGCCTACCGTGATGGTGGACTTGCCCGCAGTCTTCCCATTCTTCAGCAGCAATGGCTTAGTGACCTTGGTTTGGGACACAATCTGGAGATGGAGGAGGAGGGAGACCTGGCTGTGAGGCCCCACCTGCCTTGGCCAGGGTAGAAAGGACAGGGGTAATAAGTTGGGCTAAGGTTGGACTGTGACCCCCATTGTTTAGATGAGGAGACTAAGACTCAGAGAGGTTAAGTATCTTTCCCAAGGCGGCACTGCCAGTGAATGGCGGAGATGGGGGTCCAAGCCTGGAATGAACTAGCCCTAGAGCTCATGCTCTCTGTCAATCTGGATCTCAGAGAGGAAGGCAGGAGCTGGAGGGGGCGGGTGGTGTTGCAGACCTGGCCCAAAGTGCACTCTGTAGAGCCAAGGAAGGTGTCATTGCTGGGGCCAGTGGCTCCGTCCTCGGCATCAAACACGTGGAACTGCAGGGGCTGCTTTTCTTCAAAAAAGTACTCAAGGGCCAGCACCCGGGAGAAGACGGGGCTGGAGCAGGAGCGCAGCACCTCTGTGCGCTCCACCTGCGGAGAGGGGGCGGGGGGTGAGGGCCTCTGGGAACCCAGTACTTTCCCCTGGACCACCCACCCTGCCAGCTGTCCTTGGGCATGCACACCCCCAGCGACTAGCTCTCCCTCCCTAGGTTGCCTGTTCCCCCAGTGTCCCCTCTCGCCCCCCCAACTCAGGATGCTGTCAGCTCACTATACCTTCAGCCCCCTGGGGCTCTCCTAAGGCCTCTGAGAACAGTGCCACTGGCCATCTCAGGCCCCTCTGTAGCTCTGGGCTTTAGAAACTATAAATGATTTGTGTTTGTACCGACGGCACACCCTGCACCAAGGTGACCCACACCTCCTGGGAGCGGCCCCTCAGGGTCTTCCCTTCCCACGTGAGGCCTCCACCCAGCCTCCCTCCTTCCAGGCCCGAGTTGCTCTCACCTCCACCCACTGCTCATCAGAGTAGAGCTTGAGCAGCACGCAGGGGTGGGGCTTGGCGAGCGTGTCTCGGTCCAGGAGGCCATGGCAGGATACCCGAAGCTCCACCCGCGAGGCCCCCAGCGTCATGGCTGGGGGCTCGGGCACCCATGCCATCTCAGGGTTCGACATGTCACTGTGGGGACAGAGCAGACGGCCTGGATACTGGAACGCGAACACCTGCCATGGGAGGGGGTCTACCTTCTGGAAGCCTTTGCCCTGTTTCCTGAGGTCCGGGGACCCCTGGGCCGCTGGGACCTCCTGTTTCCCTGCCCTCTCAGGGCTCGGCTTCCCTGGGAGCTCTGAGCAGAGGAGGGTGGAGTACCTGAGCCTCCCACCTCTGCACAGCCCTGTGCTTCTGTCACCCCTTCTGGCCTAGCGTGTATGGAAGGGGCTGGAAGGGCTAAAGGGTTGGGGGTGGGGGAGTGGGTTCCTGGCAGTCTTGGTTCCTAGGCCATCGATTGATCCACACTTTTTGCTGCCTCAGCACCTTCTGCTGTTTTCCCAACTGATGTCTGAGCCAGCGCAGCACTCAGTCTTGGCCCCGGGGAGATAAAGTGGGGCAGAGGGGGGTGGGGGAAGGGGTGGACGGGCCCCTGGAAGCCTGAAGAGGATGGGCCTCAGGAGCGGAGCTGCGGTGGGCAGGAGGGGGCAGGGTGAAGGCGCCTGGCCGTCCCTGTTTGTCTCCCCCCACTCACCTGCAGCTGGCCGATGGGAGGGGAGGGCGGTGGGCTTGGGGAGCTAGAGGCAGAGCTTGTGCCTGCGGAGCGCTCCTCCAGGCTCCTGGCAGGGGCTCCCACTATGACAACTCTCACTCCCCTCCCCACCTCCCCTGTTCTCACACTTCTTGGCAGCGCCCAGCAGTGTCTCTTAGCGACGCGTTTTTTGGGGAGCTGCGGCCCCCTCCATGCTGCCCGTGGGATGCACGCACGCCACCTTCCCCCAGCAGTGGTACCAAGCCTCGGGCAGCGGCAGGCAGGGGTACGCTGGCCCGAGTTCACGGCCGGTCAGTCCATCTATCTGTATCTGTCCGCATCTCAGGGTGAGGCTGTCTGATCTCGTGTCGTGGTTCTGCCAGCGAGTGTGCATCTGTGTGTCTGGATGCTCCCACCTTGTGTGTCTGTCCCCTAGTCCTGTGTCTGTCCCCAGGAGGGTGTGACAGTTCCTGTAGGCGCCTCCCTCAGAATGGGGACCCTTCTCGGGCTGGGTACCCCCTCCCCACAGGCTGTGCTTTCCGTGTCTGTGAGGGAGGGTCTGGGCTGCAGGGGTCTCTGCCTTCTAGCCACCCGTCTCCCGGTTCCTGCAGGTCCCCTGAGAAGGGCAAGGGCACGTGACAGGGAGGGATCCGGCAGAACCGGAGGCTTCTCTGGGGGCTGGGGGAGATGCTGTTACAGAGACTGGGCCGGGCCGGGCCGGCCGGGCTGGGGAGGAAGGGGAAGCTCACCTGGGCTCTAGCTGGGGGCTCCTCTCTCCGGCTCTGGCCCGGCCTTGACTCCTTTCTTCTCCAGCCGCTGGCGCCAGCTCCGGCTCCGGCTCTGCTGCTATTTATGGGGCCGGGATGGGGAGGGGAGGTGGCAGCACCAGCTCCCCCCTCACCCTCCCTCCAGTTGGGAGGGAGAAGAGGAGAGGGGCAGGGACACTGCCTGGGAAGGAGCCATAGATCTCGGGGAGGAGGGTGGGCTGGAGGTGGCTCAGAGGCTGGACCTCCACAGACACAATGACACACATCTTCCCCTTCACACCACACCCACAGCCAGCATCACAGAGATGCACACACATCCACTCTGGGGAGTGATGGAGATGCGCACCCACAACCCACAGGCTCACACATATCTTGACACGCACAGACGCCAGCACATAAACTCTCTGTGACACCACGACAGTTATAGCCACACAGACACACACAGGGAAACACACCCAGTCTCACGACACTCTCCACATCACACTCGTTAAGGATATTTGCGCCTATGAAAGAATGCTGGCTGTACTTGTCACTCACACACACAGCAGAATGGAGATCTTCACGTGCTCCTTAAAAACCACTCAGCTCCTCAGAGCTCTGAGAACGAGATTCAGCATCCCAGCCACCTTTAACAGGGAGACACAAGGTCATGGACACAGCTGCTTACGGGCATTCAGTCTCACGTTCTGGTCACACAACCACCCCCCTGAAGACGGGGTGCCGGTGGGATGTGCTGAAGGACTGGTTCCAGAGGCATCTTCCTGGTGCCCACAATTCTCAGTTCCTCGTGGGAGGGGCCAAACCAGGCACTGGTCTGGAGGAGAGATCAGTCATTCCCTAGTGAGGCCGGGGGAAGTGAGCCATTGCCTGGGAGCCGCCTGCCCCACATGAAGACATCTGGGTCCATGGGGATGGCGATCTGGGATGAGTGGGCAAGGAGGTTCCCCCGAACACCTTCCCCTCAGCGGGCAGCCGTTTACTGACAGCTCCTGGGTGCCAGGCACTGTGCCCGGGGGCTGGGCCATGAGGTGACTGGGACACAGCTCCTGGCCCTGGGGAGGTGTGTGTCTATAGAACAGACAACCTCACAGACAGAGACGATTAGCCACTACACAAGTGCCATTAAGTGTGTCAGGTGCAAAGGTGTGGATCTGGTCAGGATGCGGTGGGCCGCAGAGAGGGAGGGTCCCACGGATGAGCCGGGGGAGGGCGGCGGGAAGGGCTTCACAGAGGGCGGGGCTCTTGAGCTGGAGTCTTGAATGCTAAGCTGGTATTTGGCAGCACTCCAATGGGAAAAATTAATTTAATCATCAATCTTCTCACAGCATAGACATTTCTGTTCACCTTCAGGCTGCTTTTCTGCTGAAATTTCTGACTATTGATGGTGCACACTCTAATCCCACCATTAGTGAGCCTGCCTGTGTGTAAACACACACACACACACACACACACACGCACGCACACACGCGCACACACACACACACAGCACCCCTTCCCAAATCTCCTCCTGGTACATTGGGGTCTTCCAATCTTACCGCACGCCCCAAAGCTGGACATACACTGGTGCTGGTTTCTATCATTTTGGTCTCTTCTCCAGCCAGCTCAGCCCAGATCCTACACGTGACATTTCCTGGGGCTTGGGGACCTCAGTCCCCTCCAACCTGTCCATCACTTTTCCGGCCTTTCCCTCTCTACTCAGAGCCCCCACCCCAATCCTGTGAGGTATTCCTCACTCTTCCCCCTGAGAACAAGCACGGAAGGGGAACAGATGGTGGGGTGTGGGGCAGTGACTGGGGAAGGCAACAAAGACTCAAGGCAGGCAGTGATTTTTTTATTTTATTCTATACAAGTGGGGAGAGAGCCCCTGGGGGTAGAGGGCTAGATCTGCCCTCCAGGGAGGGAGATGTCCCCCACCCCGACTCTGCTGAGGGAGCAGGCACTCAGAGCCTCCCTCTTTCCAGGTTGCTCCCTCCCTTCCTGTCCCCCTCTGTCCCCCACACCTCATCCTGCCATCCAGCCCCTGTGAGATGGGCTGGCAGAGGGACCTGGAGGTGCAGGGGGTGTCAGGGGGTGGGGGGTCAGTCCTTGTGAGGCACATGTCGAGAGGAGGGCTGGGGAGGGCGCAGCAGCGGCGGTCAGTCTGTTCCGGGCTCACTGGTTCCTGTGGGGACAAATCCAGGGAGCCCTGTGTCCTGGGCAGGGAGAGCCTGCCGCCCGCGCTGGGCGCCGTGTTGGACAGGTGGGTGAGAAGGGGAACTGCCCGTGGCCCACCCACCGGCACCTGTGGAGTCGGGGGGCCGCCTTCTGTCCGGCTCCAGCTTGTCACAGGACTGTGCCCGCCGAGTCCTCTTGGGCTTCAGGGGGGCGGACCGGCGGCCTGGGTCTAAGGGGCCTGAAATGACAGTCAAGGCGGGTCCGGCATACGAGTGAGGCTCAGAGCTGGGTGCTGGGGAGGGGGACCCCGTGCGGGCAGCGGGGGCCCAGAGGCCTCCCGGGGCCCCTCCAGCGGGTGGCAGACCTGGGGCCTCAGGCTCCTCTTGGTCCTGCTGTGAGCCCAGCCTCAGCCGGGGCTTGTTTATTCCTGGGGCTGCACTCCCAGCCTCAGCCTCTTCCCTGCCCCCTGGCTCCTGGGGGGGACGGCGGCCCCTGGGCACAGCCACGGGCTTGGGGGGCCGTGGAGCCAGAGGGGGGTCCTGCAGCTGACAGAAGAAGGAAGATGCCAGGTCATTAGTCAGTCCTTTGCCTCATCAAACTGCCTCCCCCACTCACCTGGCCAGCCCTCACCTTGGCATTCCTAGCGGGAACGGTTCTCTCAGGGAACAGGACCCCGTCCTTCCCCTCCTCCCCATCCTGGGAGGAGGGGCTGGGACTCTGGCAGCTGTGGTTGGGGGCACTCTCCTCGGCTAGGGGATGGGGAGAGAAGAGAAACTGCAGGAACAGGCATTCTTGCAGAGCCCTCCCTCCCCTGCCCCTACGAAGCCCTGGAGGCCCGGACTTCCCCATTGGCTCCTAAGCCTCTGCCTTCATGTTCCCTTCTGCTCTCACGTTTTCTTAGTCAGTGCTCGGCAAACTCATTAGCCAACACAGCCAAATATCAATGGGACAACGACTGAAATTTCTTTTGAGAGCCAAATTTTTTTAAAAACTTAAACCTCTTCTAACACCACTTCTCAAAATAGACTCGCCCAGGCCGTGGTATTTTGTGCAAGAGCCACACTCCAGGGGTCAAAGAGTAGCATGTGGCTCGCGAGCCACAGTTTGCCGACCACTGGCCTTAGACCTTGGCCTCCGGGATGGTCCTGGGCCTGTTACCTCTGGAGTGGGCGCAGGCTGCCCCTCGCGAAGAGCAGGCTGAGCTCGCTCCTGCTGGGATAGAGCCAGAGCCTGGGCTGTCCGGCCCGCAGGCGGGGCTGCTCGGCCAGGGCTGCAGTGCCCGGGCCCTGCCATGGCTGCAGCCTGGCTCTCCCAGGGCTTTGTCTCCCGTCTGACTTAGATGGCGAGAGCCTCAAGGAGGGGCGCCCTGGCACCCCCACCTCCTGCCTCTGTGGCTTTGTGCACACTGAGCCTGAGGGTAGCCCACCTGGAAGGTGTTGTCCGTGTGTGTGTGTCTGTGGGTGTGGGTAAGAGAAGCCGGAAGGGTGCTGGGGCAGGTGTGCACGCAGGGGAGGGCAGCCTGGCTCTGCACACGCCCGGTGCCCTGGCGTCTGGTGGAGAGGAGGAGGGCGATGGAGGGTCTGGATCTACGGTGTGATATTCCCTGTCAGTGATGCTGAAGGGTCAGGTGCCAGGCCCGTGGGAACATAGGCTGACGCTGAGCTGACCAGCTTTCCTTCAGAGGTTCCGTGGGTGCAAGGTGCTCGGAACCCGGCAGACAGAATGCCATACCACGAACCCCTCCCTTTTATGCCTTCAGAGTTCCAAAGCCAGAAGGTAAATAACTTGTACAAGGTTAACCCAGTTGGTGGTGGCGAGCTGGGCCTAACCACCTCGGGGGCAGGACGGGCTCCGGCCCCTGCCCTGTGGCACCTGCCGCGTGAGCTGAGGCTGGCTTAGCAGCTGCTCTTGGAGGAGACTGGCATGTCTGAGGGGGGCCTGGCATGACCAGTACTTGCCCACTCTTCCCAGCTGAGGCTCAGAGAGAGGACTGTCTGTCCAGGGTGCCCCTCTGCTGACCGGGACCACAAGGGGCCCTGCCTGGAGAACCCTGGAATCTCCCACAACCTGCGTTCTCGTCTGCCCGTCCAGGCAAAGCCACTTCTGCCCTGTCGGGCCTTTCTTTGGGCTGGGCTGTCTCTCCGGGCTATCGCTTTGTAAACAGCCTTCGGCATTTCCCCCGTGTTGTCTCTTCACGGCCCCGCCTGGGACTCCCGGATGCAGGCACAGCCTGGGCCTCAGTGCTGCTGCCTGAGAGGTGCCCGTACCTATGTGCCAGGTGGCCTCCGCACGACGCATGGCGCTGAAGCTCGGCTTGGTGCTTTGAGGGGGTGGTGGCGGCTTCCAGGCTCCAGGCCCTGGGGATGGAAAAGGGGACCAGGAAAGGCAAATTAGGAGGGGCCCCCGAGAGGGGGGTCAAAAGCAGGAAGGGGGGGTGACCGTGCTCACCTGCATCATCTGAAGAGCGCCGCTTCTGCCACGCCTGGACACTGCCCTCCAGGTCTGGGCTTGTGCCCTGAAAGGAGAGCCGAGGGGGGGATGGGGTGGTGGTGGTGGTGGGGATCAGAAACGCCCTCTCCAGGCGGGGACTGCACATAGCAAGAGGCTTCCGTTCCAGCATCCTATGTCATTAGTCCCCGGACGCCCGGACCACCCTAGGGGTGTGTGAGATGGCTCGCATGAATGAAAAGACTGCTATGTTAATAGTTGTATGTTTATTTTATGTGCCGTAAAAGAAAACATGACTTTGGCTTTAAAGATAATAATGCTCAGGTCCAGACGAGGTTAAAAAAGGCGAGTTGATTTAAATGAAAACGATACGTAAATATTAACACAGGTGGACAGTGGAGAAGATAGAAGTCAGTCCTAACATGGCGATCAAGTCACCGAAGTTTGGGAAGCAGCTCTGGAGGAAAGTGTTTCTATGGCGGCCCGTTTCACAAGGAAGTGGAGGCTCCAGAGGTCAGGATGCCACGGCAAGTGTCTGGTACGGCCAGAGCTGCAGCGAGCACCTCTGCGGCCAATGCATGGCTTCCCACTGGCCCACCAGGGACGGGGGTGCAGGAGGGAGAGGGTGGCAGACAGGGACCCCCAGGACCCTCACTTCGCCGCTTGGGCTCCCCTCACCTCTTGTTTCCCATCGAAGCTCCACCCTTTGGTTCTTCCCAACCCGGGAAGGGCAACGCCCTGGACTCTTGGCTGCTGTGCTGTCCCAGGGGCCTGGCCCCCCTCCGCTGGGTCTGACCCCTCAGAACCCTAAACAAGATCTCAGGTTTACAAGCAGCTTCGAGGGAGGAGGGGCTCCCCCGGCAGCGAGGGAGTGGGGAGGGCCCCTGCCCTAGGAGCCCCCAGCCCGGGGGAGCCCTGCCCACACCCTTGGGAGAGTCTTCCCACCACCCGGCTATGCATGCAGCACGCCCAGCATGCTGTACAGGCCTAGCCCCTCTCAGGGAGCAGGGAGTTGGGACGACCAGAGGACCCCCGAGTCCCTGGCATCCTCCCCATAACTGCCTGGGTGGGGTGGGCAGGTGGGCTGCGTGTGGGGCAGTGGGCGGGGAGGTCACAGGACTTCCGCCTCACTCACCATCTTCCTGCGGAAGGAGGGCCCCCGGCTCCCGCCCAGCCCGGGGAGCAGGCCGCTCTCCTCCTCCGGGCTCCAGCAGGGCGAGGAGTTGTTGCCGAGGCTGGGCGGGTCTGGGCTGGGGGGGCTCTCCTGAGTTGGGGGTGGGGGTGGGGGCGGAGGGAGGAGGAGGCCGGTGGTGGGGGACCCCGGTCCCCTGTCCCCCTTGAAGCTCCGGGGCCGGCGGAAGTGAAACAGGCCTCGGCGCCTCTTTTTCTGCAGCGGGGGCAGCGGAGGCTCCGGGAGGCCCGGCCTCAGGGTCCGCAGGGTCCGAGGGCAGCTGTGTGGGGCCAGGGGGAGTTAATGGCAGGGCACGGGGAGACAGAAATGCCAGGGGCAGAGGCAGCTCAGGGTGGTGCTGGTGGTCCCTCTCAGGCCTCACAAACCTCCCCGTTTCCTCTCACCTAGTTCTGCTGCTGCTCTGCAGCCCTTCCCACTTATCTCAGGGGAGACACGTCCTCACCTTCCCTGTCATAATCCTCTCCTAGCAGATCAGCTCTTCTCCCAGGCTCGCCTCCTGCCCTCCCCTCTGTCTCTGCAGGTGACCCAGTTCCTCAGGGCAGGACAGTGACTGAAAACACACCCTCAGGCCTCTTACCCTAATGGTCATACCCTCCCCCCGCCCGGGGCCTGCAGCCAGCCCCAACCTGCCCCAGGCCCCATCCCCACCACCCCGCTGGCCCTCCTTCCTAGCCAGCTGTCCTGAGACTGAGAACATGTGGGAGACAAGGGCTCGGTGTGGAAGGACCTGGATGTGAGGAAATGCCCCAGAGAGACCGGCTCTGCCCCAGGGCTCCGTCTCCATGGGAGCTGGGCAGGCAGGAGCCCGTCAGGGCCTTGGGGCTGGAGAAACGGAAGTGTGTCTAGGGGCCACACCTGGAACTCTCATCCATGACCCTTCGGCTGAAGAAGTCCTCCAGCCCCTCATCAAGGCGGGTGGCCATCCCGTTCTCCTGGCGCATCCCAGGCACGGGCACCTGCTGGGCGGAAAGTCCCGTAGGCAATCTCATCCGGGCCAGGGAGGCCCTCCCATCCCCTCAGGGCCGTCCCCTTCGGACAGGGACTGGCTTCTCCCTGCCCCATGGGAGTGTAGACGTCAGTCCCTCTGGAAATTTACTGAGCTTGGCAGCCCGCACCACAGTGACTGCTGCTGTCTGGCAGACAGATTTCCTCTCGGTGACAAGGTCTAGGTCCCGTCCAAACTGGAGAGTCCCTGTTGGGGTGGCCTGCCAGGCCCCCCCCCCCACGCAATGGCTGGTGCTCTGTGCCAGGCCTGTGAAGCTGGTCCTCTTGAGAGGCCTGACGGACTCACATTGGGCCGACCAGGTCCCGGAGGGGTGGTCCTGGGGGGCCGGGGCCGGCCCTGTGTCTGATGCCTCAGTTTGTAGCCGTGGGTGGGGAGCTCGGAGAGACCTTCCCAGGAGCCACCGGCAGCGGGCTGGCTGTTCCCGAGCCCTGAGAACCAACCGGGAGGGATCCCCAGACTCCCCAGCTGGCTCTCCATGTCCTGAGGGCTCCCACCTGTGGGGACAGCGGCGTTAGAGGGACCGACCGGCAGGGGGGACAGGGAGAAAGCAGGCTGGCGAGACAGAGGAAGAAGAAAAGGAAACGAGGCTGTTGGAATCAATGCTGGGGACTCACTAATGAAGGCGGACACTGGCCGGATCTTGCGGCAGCGTTTCTGCTTTTTGATGGCCATGGTGTCCTGCAGAGATGGAGGTGAAGCGTGGGGCCCACGCAGGACCTCATCGGGAGCCTCCATTCCTCAGAGTCCCTCCTGCCCCCCTCCTCAGGGGTCTCGGGGAATTAGGGAAGAGGCTGGGCTGGTTGGGCTAGTGGGTGGGACCAGCTCCGTCAGGGGAGCGTGGGGTCCAGAGAAGTGGAAGGGGACCGTGTTTTGCAGGTTCAGGGGCAGGACCTAGGTTAGGGAGGGGGTTGGGGGTGAGGTGCTCACGATGTTAGTCCCAAGTTCATCATCTGTGGTCTCCTCGTGGTCATGGTTCCGGCCCCGGCCCTGGCCCCGGGAGGACAGATCCTGCCCGTGGCCTGGCCCCCCTGATGGGTCTGATAGTGTCCTTAGCTGGGCCAGGTGCCGGGCCTGGGAAGGACAGGATCCTAAGGAAGTGGTCTACCTCCCAGAGGCTTGAGGGGAGGGGGCTTGGGGAGGCAGTATGATGCCCACGTGCAGGCCATGTCTGCACTGGCTTACCAGGCTCTTGTGTGAGTGGTACAGCTCCTGCAGGATCTCATCCACTATGGAGTTGGTTAAGTAGGTGACGACTGAGAGCTTCACTTCACTGCGGGCACAGGTGGGGCTGCTCAGCCACTGCTTCCCGGGCCCTGGCCTCAGCCCTATCCTCCCCAGGTGCCCGGGGGGGGGGGAAGGGCCGGCTAGCCCGGCCACCCAAGGAGGCCCTAACGTGCTGTAGGAGGCTCGGGGGGCCACACTCAGATCTCCATAAAGGCACCCTCAGTCCCTTCCACCGACCAGGGGTGTGTGGGTTAGGAGGGGGGGCAAAGAGGACGGAGGCCCCTGGAGCTCCCGTGGAACAGAGCTGGGTGAGGGGGTGCCGAGAGAGCTCTCCTGGTCTCTGCCGTAAGAGCAGAAGCCAGTTCCCCTGGTAATAATGTTTCTTTTTCTTTGCTTTGGAGAGGGCTGGCACCCAGACCCAGAATGAAAGAGGCCTCGGGGTGAAACCTGGGAGGGACAGCTCACACTCTCCAATCACATCTGTTCTCCTGGGCCAAGCCTCCGCAGGAAAGGACTCCAGTGTACGTGTGTGTGTGTGTGTGTGTGTGTGTGTGTGTGTGTGGCTGTGTGTGTGTGTGTGTGTGTGTGCGCTCGCACCTCTGTGTGTGCACTGCCCGGCTCCTGAACCCCAGCTCAGCACTTGGATTTCTAGGGCAAAGACCAGTCCGACCCTGAACAACAAGGTTGCATTTGGTTAAAGATTTATCCCTGGTAATGGAGATTGGGCCATCCATTATTCATGGTTGAGAGTGGGGCCCCAGGTCCCTAAGTGTTCTGGGCCCAATCCAGCCCTGCCCTAACCCGGCCGCCTCTCACTCCAGCTTGTTCTGGATGTCCTGCCCGGCCTGCTCCAGCAGCGCCCCGCGGATGAAGTTCCGGGGCACAGTGACGCGCTCCGCCACGTTGCTCAGCATCTTGTTGTGCCCCTCGGCTACCCGCATGGCCACGGGACATAGCTCCTGCGTCAGGCTGACCATGGACTCCAGGATCACCTAGTATGGGGAGAGGGAGGCCAGAGCCCAAAGGGGGGCGGGTCAGGCGTGGCTTCCCTGCTGAGAGACAACAGCCTGTCTATTCCAGCCCCTCAGGCATCTACAATACCTACCACACGGACAGGGAAGTCAGTCTGGGGCCAAGACTGAAGCTAGCAGGAACAATGCAAGCCCAGTTTTCTAGTAAGGTCTCTGCACAGTGGGAGTGTGGGAGTTCTCAGCTCCGCATTTCCTTCTGGCCTCAGGGATCTCCCGGGGCAGACCTCGCCCTCCGCTCAGAGCCTGGGTCCACACCAGACTCTTTCCCCAGGACTTGCCTGCAGCTCCTTGTCCACGGCCTTGGACACCTCACTGGCGACCGACTCCAGCCTCTGCCGCACGGGCCCGTCGTTGGCCAGCACGTGGCCCAGCTCGTAGAGGCTGGGAAACAGCTGTGTAAGGAAGGGGCTGCGGTCAGGCCAGACACAGGCCCGTGTGCCTGGAGGGCGAATGCACAGGCAGGGCCCGGACACTTCTGGGATGGCCTGGTGGGCCGTCCTGGGTTCCCGATTGCCAGGGAGAGTGTGTGGGGTGCTGTGCAGGGCTCACCGCCCGGGAGTTCTTGGCGTCCTTGATGAGGTCCCGCGCGTAGAGCAGCTCGTCCTGCACGGGCTCCAGGGGGCATAGCCTCAGGGCCCGGACCTCCTCCTGCACGCGCCCGCACAGCCGCTGCAGCATCTGCAGCACAGCGGGAGTGTTAGGGGGACCTCGCACAACACCCTCCCAGGCGGGACCCCAGGCACCCCGTTTCTGTGTCTCCCTGGGCAATGCTACTGGTGCCAGCACTGCTGGGGTGGTGGGCATATCTCTGGATGGCCTGCTCTCACTTCTCCTGGGGAAGCCCTCCTTGAAGGCCCCGTGGAGCTCCCACAGTCCTGTGCACCCCTTGTCTGGGGCCCCCACTGTTTGCCCACATGTTCTCCCATTTTGGGGACTCTTATTCTTCCCCATACTTGAGGCCAGTTATGGGCATCATGTGATGCCTCCTCCATGCTCCCCGCCCCCGTCACATCACACCTGTGCCTCGCATGCCCCACGTGGCCCAGAGGGAAACGTTTACTTGCTCGGCGCTGCTGGTCACCAGGCCCTGCTGCAGCCTGAAGGCCTGCTCCTGGGGACACGTCTGGGAGTGGTTGTTCCTCACCAAGCACCACTGGATCTGGAGATGACGGGGTGAGCCTGTCAGGGCCCGGGGACATGGGCTGGCCCCTGCCCTCTCTGTGCCACCCTGCCGAGGCCACCACCTTCTGCCAGACGTCCTCCGTGCGCTCGGGGGCGCTGCGGTAGGCTTGGGAGATGTCGCTCACGGGGAAGGACATGAAGCGCAGCGTGTGGTTGCTGTGGACACAGGAGCACAGGGGAGGTGAGGAGAGGCCCACCTCCCGCTGACCTCTCCCCTCGCCCATGGCCCTTTCCAGCATTTCTGTGCAAAGAGGTCAAGAGGACTGGTGTGAGGCTGAGTTAGTTCAGGCGTGGTCCCTGGCCCACTCACCTCTCCAGAGCCCTCGCAACGTCCAGGAAGCCCAGGGCAGACGTGTTGTTCCGATCCCATAGGATAGTTCTGGGGAGAGGTTGAGCACAGCTTGTTACCTTCCCTCTGAGTCCCTGTTAAGGGGCAGGACACAGCCCCTCCTTTCCTGGGTAATGAGGCAGACTCAGAGATGGTTTGGGCCTGAGGGTTTCCTGGAAGCTGGGGCAGAGCAAGGCAAGCAGGAAGTGTGTATGTGTGTGTGTGTCTGTGTGTGCGTGTGCATGTGTATGTGTGTGTGTACGCACACTAAGGGGTCAGAGGGTTCAAGTGGGGACCCACCTGAGGGAGGAGTTTATCTGCAGGGCCTTAGACAGCATCTTGGCCCCAATGTCCTCCATGCCATTGCCGCTCAGGTCCACCTTGGCCAGGCAGGTGTTGCTGCCCAGGGCGTTGATGAGGATGCTGGTGCGCAGCTTCAGCCGGGAGTCTGCCACCGACAGGGACTGCAGGGACTGTGTGGGCAAGCAGGGGTTGGGCCCAGGTTCCAAGGCTCCCGCCTCAGCAGGCACCCCCTCCCCCCGGCCCAGTCACCCACACAGTCCTCTTCCTGGATCATCTGCACCAGCTTGTGGAGGATCTCCTCCAGGGTCCTGCGGGGAGAGGGCCGGGGTCATGCTCTTGGGGGAGGAGGGAGGGACCAGAGGCAACACAGTGAGCCCCAAGGGGAGGGGGCTGACAGAGGGAGGGCCTATGGTATGGGGAGGGGCCTTACTTGGCCTTGACATTGAAGTTCTTGCCCAGGAACAGGTGCTTGAGAGACTTGTTCTTGCCAAGTGCAGGCACCAGTGTCAGGAGGTCCGAGTCAAACCCTGGCCGGTAGATGGAAGAGGCCTGGCCTTGAGGCCGAGGCTCACAGGAGTCTCCTTCACACTTCTCCCCCACGCTCCAGGCCCTGTCCCCACCGGCTCCCGGGAAGAAAACACCTCCACTCACCATTGTCTGACAGATCCAGGCTGCCCACACAGGTGACAGCCCCCAATTGCTCTTGCAAAGCCTGGGCTCCTGCTGAGCGGAGCTGCAGGAACAGGGTGGGGGTGGGGCAGGGAGGCAGGGTAAGGGCGGGGGAGGGCACCTTTAATGTTCAGAGACCAAAGTAGATACGTCAGGGCTCAAGGTCATATCAGGTCTGGGGTGCAAAATCAGGAGGCCCCTTCTCCACACCAGATTCTTCCCCAGGGCTCTCTCCCTTTCAGCCAGAAAAGTCTCCAGGCCGCTGCACCCGAGATAGCTCGCTCCTGCCCTCTGGTGGGGAAGCCTGGTACCTCCGTCCGCAAAGCTTTAAGGGGGGAGATACTGGAGACTGAACATGACCTCTGGAAAGAGGGACGCGGGACGCAGACCACAGACGGAGACGGGAAAGCGGAGGTGTGAGCAGGTTGGGGGGTCACAGAGGAGTAGTGCAGGGGCAAATACTGCCAGGGTTTGACTGAGGTCAGAGAAATGAACAGTGGGTGGGGAACAAGCAGTGGGATCGGGGGACAGGGCTCACCTCACAGCCGCTGAGGTCCAGGTGCAGGTCACTGAGGTGGCTGTTGAGGGAGAGGCCGTGGAGCAGCGCCCTGCGGGAGGAAGGCCGGCAGGCCCACTGTGACCTCTCGCCGCTTCTCTCAGGGTTCCCCCTTGGCCACGCCCCCAACCCTGCACCCACCCGACCTGAGGGCCTCCAGGGGCAGCTTCGTGGCAGACAGGTTGACGTGGCTCAGGGTGTAGGCGCTGCTGAAGAACTGCTTGAAGGCTGGTGGGGCCTCTCGGCCCTTCCTGCAGAGACCCTGGGGTCAGCAAGGGAGAGGGACACCCACCCCTTACCCCACCCTTCCTGCACCCCTCACGCCCCCACCTGTGAGAGCAGCTGTTACGCGCCAGGTTGAGGTAGGTTAGGTGGGAGCAGCAGCCATGGAGCAGGGCACCCAGAAGCTGTGGGGAGAGGCATGGTGGGTCTCCCAGGGGCTGGGAGGGGTGCTGGGAGGCGTCTCCCCTCCCCATCAAGGTCCTGTTCTTAGTCCCCCCATCGTCAGTCTATGTGAGCCCAGCTTCCCCTCGTATTGCCTCGGTTTCCCCTCTGTGGAAAGTGGGTCTGCTCCCTGCCTGGTGGCCAGGGGCACTGGAGAGGCTCACAGACAACGGATGCATAAAGCCGGGGTCACCGCAGACTCACGAGGTGCCTTGTCCCCATTGCCTCCTGGGGGAGGGGGCGGGGGCTGGTTCTCATGGAGCCAGCACAGCCTCGGACGGGGACCAAGGTAAAGTACAGCACAGGTGTCTGCTGTGGGGGCTCCTTTACAATCCAGCTGAATCCGAAGTCACCCGGCCAGCTCTGCCCACCTTCACACTCGAGGAAGGTGGCGGGGCACAGACCCGCCCTGGCCTCCCCAATCACCCCAGCTGGCCCACCATGACCAGCCCACCCCTCACCGAGTCCACGGCGCAGTCCGTCCCCGCCAGGTCCAGGTGCACCAGGGCGTTGGGCTGGGCCAGGAAGCTGTAGAGGGCCTGGGGAGGGAGGGCGGCGGGGTTGCAGGGGAAGGGGTGACAGACCAGGCCCTGCGGCCTGAGCGTGCTTCGGCAGGGGCTTGGGCTGTGCTCCAGGGACTCACGTTGGACTCGTCCGTGGCGAGCAGCCCCGGGTTCTTGCTCAGGTCCAGGTACTGAAGGGAGCTGGCAAAGGCCGGGTTGGCCCCGAAGGTCTGGCCCAGCGCCTGGAGCCCTGAGCACAGCGGGCACTGGGCTGGGTTGGCCCCCATTCCCACAACACTTCCCGGCTCCCAAAGTGTGGCTCCTTCCCTTCCCCTGGGCCCTGGGAGGCTGTGTGAGTGTGGGGAGAGGCCTCTGGATGGGGCTCAACTGGGCAGCACTGGGGAGGTTAAAGGTCAAACGTCAGGGTTCCCAGCGCAAATACCTCGAGGGGAAATGGCAGTCTTGGCCAGGCACAGTTTGGTGAGGCCCGTGGGGAAGCAGAGAAGCTGCTGGCTCAGACTGAGGAAACCTGGGCAGTGGGGAGAGAAATGCACCCAGTGAGAGGCTGGGCAGTGGGAGCAGGTGGTACAGTCAGGGGAGGGGCACGAGTGGGGTACAGGCCTGGGGTCAAGGATGGAGGTGCTGGGGCAGGGGCTGGTATCAGGTTGGAGAGCCACTGTCAGAACCCGGGTTGGGCTCTGGGCTAGGACAGGGGTCTGCACTGCGGAGGAGGTAGGACTCCGGGCTGGGGCTCACCCTTGTCCTCGATGGGATTGTGGGACAGAGTGAGGGCATGTAGCACGCAGCTCCCGTTCTCCCCAAACACGCAGGCCAGCTTCTGGACAAAGTCCCTTCAGGCAAGGGGAGGAAGGATGTGTTTGTCCCAGCCCCCTGGCTTCCCCTCTTCCTCCACCTGCCCGCCTGGCTGGGACTGCAAAGGACAGAGGCCCCCAAGGTGGGAGCAGGCCAGGGTCTGCCACGGAACTTGTCCCCACTCTGGAGCACAAGAGAAGCTGTGCTGAGACAAAGCCCAGCTTCGGGCCCTCGAAGAGAGAAGCCCACCCGCCTGGTGGCTGTGGAGCATGCTGGGGAAGCCACGGAGCTGGGGACCAGGGGGCTTAGGTCTGAGTCCAGCGTGACCATTGACTTGTTTTCTGCCCTCTTTGGGCCTCAGTGTCTTCTTCTGTAGAGCGAGGAGCAGGATGAGCTAGCTCAGAGGCCCCTATCATGCTCTGAGGTTCTGTCACCCTAAGACTACATCACGGGGGCACTGCTGCCCCAGGAGGAGGCTGGCTCACGTCTTAAGTCCGGCGTTGTCCAGCACCAGCTCTTCGAGGCTCCCCGACTTGCTCAGGGTATGTAGCACCTGTTCCAGCACTTCAGAGCCCTGAGGACAGAGCGGGGGCTGTGGTCAGGGGCCAGAGAGGACACGTCCCTCTCCCACGTCCTCCACCCCTCCTCATCCCTACCAGCCGCAGGTCCTTGCAGTAGAGTTTGGTGAACCACTGGTTGTAGGCCAGGGCTGCCACCATGAGGGCCAAGTCTCTGTGGGAGATGGGAGTGGGTGGGAAGTGGTGAGCAGGTGGGCAGGAAAGAAGAGACTAGGCATAGAGTGGTTGGGCTGGGGAAAGCCTGGGTGGGTAGAAGGCAGTGGAGGGGGGTTGGGGAGAGAGGTCTGGGGCTGTGGGTGGGATCAGGAGGGCTTCTGTGGCGGGGGGTGGTGTGGGGTGGGGCGTCGATCCCATCAGCTTACCGGCTCTCCAAGTGGCTGAAATCTAAAAGATTGAACTCCCGGTTATCCTCGGCATGATAGATGGTGTCCACATCCTTGAGGAGGTAGAACTGGCTCACCCCTGCTCCCCTCCTCCTCCTCCTCCTCTGCCCCCTCCCTCCAGGTCCCAGCTGCCCAGATGGTGGGTCCCTGCCCAACGCACCCATTGCACCTCCTCCCGGCAGTGCAGCCCGTTGTAGTCACACAGGGCAGCGTAGGTCTCAGAGAAGCCACCTGTGGGGCAGAATATGGGCTGGCTCCATGAGGTGTAAGGGAGTGAGGAACAGGTTTAGGGGTCAAGGAAAGGTCAAGGTCATTTCATGTGCTAGTGCCCTGGGTTCCTGCTACACCATGAGGTCCGGGAGCGGTGGGTCCCTGGGGCAGGTGAAACCCCATATAGAAAGGACTCTGGACAAGGGGCAGGGTGGTTTAGATCCCACTTTCGTCAGGTCTGCCCCCGCTCACCACACACACTGTGAGTGGTGGATGTGGAAGTCTCCGAGTTGGGGGATGTGTCTCGGGGCCCTTCTGGAGTGTCTGCATTTCCACGCCGGATTAGACTCCTGGAAGATGAACAAATCCATCCCAGAGAGAGGTGAAAAGAGGCTTTCCACGTCTTACGGCGTCTGGCCCCCAGAATAAAACGGGAGCAGGAACATGCTGGCTCTTCTCCTTGCTGTCCTGGGAGCTCAGGCTCAGGGGGAAGAGGGTAGGGGAGAGAAGTTTCCTTGCTGTCCCACTCCTTTGCCACTCACCCAGGGCCAGGGCAGACCTTGGAGAGGGCTGAGCTCACGTGCCGCGTCACTTGGTCCACACTCTCAGCTGATGGCAGCCGCAGGCTCACCATGCCTCGCTCTGTCTCCACGAGGATCTGGGGCGAGGGAGCAGCAGGGCCTCACACACTGACCCCCTCCTCCTGCTGGCCCGGGGGGGCCCAGGCCCGGTGCTCACCTGGTTCTGGCTGAGTGTGTTGAAGGCCCGGATCTCCAGGACATTGAAGGAGCTCTCCACCTGGGGGGTGAGGATGCTCAGCTCGTGGAGAGGGTCTGGCTGCCACGCTCAGGAGGGGGCATGCCAGGTGCTCTCCGCTCCTCAGCCCAACTTACCTTCGCTGGGACTTTAAGGGGGAAGAGGTGGAGGCGCCAGGAGGTCAGGGCCTTCAGAGAAAGGAAAAGAAATCAGCAGTAAATGGCCATTCCCTGGGCCTTTGATTCGTGCCCTCCCCCAGCCCCCTCAGCCAGTGTGCAACCTGGCCAGCAGCGGCCCTCCGTTCTGGGGGTCTAGGCTCTCTCTCATGCCCCATTCTAACCTCCTGGGCTTTGACCCAGTTCAGCCTAAGCCCTCCCCTAGACCACGTCTCCTCAGCTCTTCCCCACCTCCGTCTTCCCTCCTCCCAGGCTCTCTGCCCTCAGCAGCCCAGCTGCCCTTGGTGCCTCCCTCTGCTCCCAAGCCCTGTGCCCTCACCAGAACTCGGTCCTCAAACTTCTTGGGCTTCGTCTCCAGCTTCACACGATGTTGCTGGAGCACAGCCCCTTGGCTCAGGCACCTCCGGATGCTGTCTGCAGGTGGAGAGGGGCCTGCTCAGAGCTCCCCTTGCCCTGGCCACCCACCTCCTCAGGGCTCTCCAGGGGCAGAATCAGAGAAAAAGAGAGACAAAGAAGGCAGGGACACACAGCTTTCCTTCCTGGGTGCATTTCTCTTCCTATTAGAGAGGGAGGGGGTGTGGAGAAAACTCTGGTTCCCCATGTTTCTAAACCAAAGGACAGCCGCTGAGTGACCCTGTCTGTGGGAGGGCGTGTCTTACACTTCTGAGGGTGTGAAGGCTCTTTTCCAGCCTGTTCACTCCAGCAACTGTCAGCCCATACACAGTGAGTCAGTGCGTAGGGGTGTGGGCGGGTTCCTTTCACTATACTCTAGGTGGTCTTGGGTGTGAGTGTGCCTGCCTTTCACAACGCGTGTGTGCGCGCCTTCTGAAGCCGCCATTGGTGAGGATGGGGAGAGTGAATGAGTATGCTGTGCTTGCAGTTGTGAAAGGGGCACAGAGCCAGCAGGTTCCCGTGTGTGTGGCAGGTGGAAAGGAGTTGGTGTTTAAATGAGACCCTACCTAACTGCTGAGAGACGAGAGAGAGAGAGAGAGAGAGAGAGAGAGAGAGAGAGAGAGAGAGAGAGAGAGGAGAGGGAGAGAGGGAGGAGAGGGAGGAGAGGAGAGAGGAGAGAGGGAGGGAGGGAGGGAGGAGGGAGGGAGGGAGGGAGGAGAGAGAGAGAGAGAGAGAGAGAGAGAGAGAGAGAGAGAGAGAGAGAGAGAGAGAGAGAGAGAGATGTGTGTGTCCAGGCACTATAAAGATGTTTGTACACACATCTCAGGATTGTGCTGTGTGTGTGTAGGTGTGGGAAATTGCTAAGGCACGCTTGCCTCCGAGTATCCTTGAGCTCCTGATCTCTGCCTGGGCTGCTGCCTGTGGGGGTCAGGGTTGTGGCAGTGCTGGGGGGCCGGGCCTTGGTTTGAGCCGAGCCTGAGGGCCATGCAAACAGGAGAGGCCTTGAGGTGTGGGTATAAGGTAGCAGAAAGGGGCAGGCTGGGACGGGGGCACTGGGAGGTGAGCTGCAGAGACCTCGCTCTAGCTTTTCGTTGCAAGGCAGCCCTCTTCCCGGATTCCCTTCTCTGCCCCCCTGGTCTGGGCGCTGCTGGGCTGCTAGGGGGCTCTCCGGGCCAGTTCCGGGGCGGGGCCGGGAGAGGGAGGGTGCAGAGATAAGAGGCGGTCAGGACCAGGGGCAGCTCCCGTCGTGCAGCCTGGGGTGGGCCTGGCTCCGCCCGGCGGGGAAACAAGGACTCTCTGGGGAGGGGACCAGCCGCCTCGCTTAGGGGTGGGCCTGAGAGTCAGCCCCAGGGACCGCGAGGGGACTACACCTGCCACCAAAGATCAGCACGGGCGGCTCTGGGACAAGAAGGTCTGACAGGGTGAGGCGAGGTGGGGCAGCGGAGGATGCTCCGGGGACAGAGCCCCGCAGCTGGGATGCAGGGCAGGGGAGGGGGCTGCCTTGCCAGCGGGCTGCACGGGGCGGGGACGGGGCGGAGGGGCACAGGGCTGGGGTGAACCGCGAGGAGGAGCGCACTGGGTCTCGAACGCTCCCAGACCTGGCGTCCCGGAGACCACCGCAGCCTCGTACCTTGCAGCTCGCGGGTGAGCTCCGTGCTGGACTTGGCCATGGCGGCTGCTGTGGCTGCCGCTGCTGCAGAGGAGCTCCCGCCGCCGCCGGGGAGCCGCGGCACATGCTACACCCGGCTCCGGCAGGCCCGGCGCGGAGCGATGCTGCAGCCGCCGAGCCCGCTCCAGTCGGGCGGCTGCGTGAGCGCTCCTGCCCCCGCCTCCCTCCCGGCGCCGGCCCCCGCCCGCCGGGACGTGCGGGACTGAGCATGCGTGCCGCGCCGCCCGGCTGCGTGGACCCCGCGCGCCCCTCCCGCCGGCTCCCGCGTGCGACGCCCGGTGCGTGTTGCCAGGAGCCCGGGCCAGCTCCCGAGAGGGGGCGTCCCCGATTGGCGGGCCACACACTCCGCGAGCATCACGAGCAAAACCCGTTTCTTTTGTTTGTGGGCCTGGGTACCCCGGTCATCCTTGCAAGGCCCCTTCCTTTTCCCGTTTGCTCTGGCGGGCGGTCCAGCTCGTCCTCCTTGACCTGCGAGGGAACTCGGGGCCGGGCAATGCCAGGGGAGGACCTGGCCAGATCTGGGGGAGTTGGTCCTTCCTCTCCCGCTGCCCAGCATGGGGATCCCTGTGGCGCTCTGGGAGTTCCCATGCCACCTCTTTCCAACTGGCAGCTTTGCAGACACCTCCACCCCAAGCAACATGCTCAGGTCCTGAGCCAGGGAGGAAGGTCAGGGGATCCAGAGATCCAGTTCACTCAGACTTATGCTTTCTGCTCAGCTACCACACCTGTGCGCCCCACACTAAACAAATGAACACATAGAGTTAAAGCAACACGATCATCTGCATTTTATTGGCACCTCATTTACAAATTTCCAACCTTCACAGCCCCTCCTTCAACTCCAGGTCCTTCTCTCCCATCTCCCTCAAACTGCCCCATGCCAGGGATATATATATATATATATATATATATATATATATATATATATATATATATATATATATATATAGCCAAGGTAGACTCAGCCTACTCAGCAGACCTATCCTGTGTCCTCAGGGGAAGTCATTATCCAAGGCTACAGCCACAACAGGAATCCTCATAAGACCAAACTCTGATGGCAGGGAAGGCTGGATCTTGCCATAGGGCATAAGTGGTTTTTGGGGTGGGGGAAGGTGAGCAGTATGGTAGGCAGAGGTGGTAAAGGCTGGTAGATTAGTGCTGGACCCCGATGGGGGTTGAAGCCCAGTCTCTGCCCAGGTAGACTCTCTCCAGGTACTCAGAGGCGGGAGGGGGCTCCTCCAGCCACTGTCACTGTCTCCCCGGTAATGTAACTGGCATCTTCAGAGCACAGGAAAGACACAATGCCTGCACAGTCTTCCGGCACGCCTAACCTGGGGTATAAGGAAGACAAAGAAGGGGTAAAAATCAAACAGGCCAGGCCCCCCCAGAGAATGAAATTTACTTAATAAGTATCAGTTGATTTTTCAGGACCAGTGTACATGTCCATCAAATTGGGTTATCATGATGATAAGCTGTTATAGTTTAGTTTGAGCACAAATACTGTACTCTGAAAAAACCACTACAAGTTATAGTCAAATAATAGAGATACTTTGTTCTTCAGAAAACCGATGGCACCAAAATCCAAAATTTTATAGATAAACTTGTGAGCAACTATTTTATACTTCAAATAATTTGCTAGTCAAGTGTCAGGGAGTCTGTGAGATAGTAAATGGTTTGTTTAAAATTACTCCATTTGCACGGCTTTAATTCACAGATAACATTTTTAGGAATCTATTTTTGTCCCTTAGAGTCAGGTTCATTTTGTGAGAATGTGCTAATTCTCAGTGTTTATATCAGTGATTGCTTAGTTGGGAACATTTTAACGTAACTGCCAGAGTTCTCTAGAGGTGGGGCAGAGTGCATATCTCAAACCTAGATTAGTGATTCTTCACCTAGCTGTACATTGTAATTATCAGGAAGGCTTAACACCTTCTCCCCTTCCCCCCCCCTCCCCCCCCCTCCACCTCTTACCCCCTTCCCCCCCGCCCAAAAGATGCCCAGGACCTGCCTTGGACCAATAAGAAGGAATCTTTGGGCCCTGGCTGGGTAGCTCAGTTGACTAGAGCATTGACCCAATACACCAAGGCTGTGGGTTCAATCCCCAGTCAGGGCACATACAAGAAACAGCCAATGAAAGCATACCTAAGTGGAACAAATCGAAGTTTTTTTCTCTCTCTCCCTCTCTCTTAAATAAAAAAAAAAAAAAAAATCTTGGGAGTGGGCCTGACCATCTGTAGTTTCGTAAGCTCCCTAGCTGAGTGGAACAGGCACCCGTGATTGAGAAGCAGGGGGCCAGTGAATCGCTGGGGCTCTAGGAAGACAACACCTTGGCTTATTAGTGAGCTGTGAACTTGGCCTGCAGCTCATGCCTGACATCAGATGGCTTTGGGGGCACTGGAGGGGATCTTCTTCCTTAAGGAGGAAGTAGTCCTTGAGGGACAAGATGGAGAAGCTGAAGACCAGCGTTCCCAGAAGCCACAAGTTGGAGGGAGGCAGGGAACCTGGAGGACAGGGAGCCAGATGAAGGTGCTCTAGCAGTTCGTCCAGCCCCTGGGGGAACAGGCCAGTTTTCTTAGGCAAGAGGAGTTTGGGGACTTAGTAAAAGCGCTCCAGTCCTTTTATTTGGGTAGTAGGATCATCAACCATGTTTGAAAACATGACTTTAAAAACACACATGACTTTCATTCAAAGAGAACTAAAAAAGCATGATTTGGTTTGGTCCCTAGAAGCGAGGGATGCCTCGAGGTGGAGGCAAGCAGCCAGCTGGAGAGAGGAGCCAGAGCCTTCCCTGCGGAACCCTGGACTCATCAGGGTTTGCGTTTGGCAATGGAAGCCGACGCCTGTCCCGGCCTCACTGTGGTGACCAGCGATCACGAGCTTGTGAAGTGTGTGGTTTGAGGCAGAGGAGAGCGTGCCCTGTCGTCTGTGGGACCAGGAGACGCGAGTTGCGGGCTGTGTGAGGGGCCATATCTCCCATCTCTATCCCTCTTCTCTCTCTCTGGGACACCTCACCTTTTGATCCGTAGCATTTCTTTTAAGCTCTCCTCTCTTGCCTCGTCCATCCACAACTGCAGGAAAAGGGGACTCTCTTTATGTGAAAGAAGAAGAAAGGGGGACAAGCAGGGGGGAACTGGCCACCCGCACATCGCCACTTCCTACGTCTGCCTAGCCCCCAGCCTCTCCCCACTGCCCTCTTCCATTTCATTCTTTTCAGATTCATTCTTTTCAGAGGCATTTCACTGGCTCTCCCCCTTCCCACCCACTTAAGGAGACATGAAACGGTGTGAGCAGAGTCTGAACTTCTCAGTGTCCACCGAACACCTGGAGGAAGAAGGGGGCTGGGCTGGCCAGGTGGCTGGCACGGAGGGGGGCGACAGGAGAGCTGGGGAGGGGAGCAGTGATGGGGAGCTCAGGACCCCGAGCCAGCTTTCCCAGCAGGATGCAGGACAGCCCCTCCTCACCACTTGGCTGAAGTTAGTCTTGATGATTCCGGGCGCCAGGCAGTTCACCCTTATGTTACTCTGGGCCAGTTCCATGGCCAGGTTCTTGCCGAGGCCCAGCAAGGCTGTCTTACTGACATTGTAAGGGCCCAGGCCCTGGGGAGAGGAAACATGGGTTCATTCTTGGTTCTTATTGGAAGACATTCAGGGCAGTAGGTAACAGGGCAGCTCCTGGAATGGAGGGCCCCAGTTAGAAAATGGAACCCTCCCCAATGCTGGGGTTTCGTGGAGACGGGGCATCTGTTTTATGGGAAGGGACTTAGGGTGACTGGAAGGTGCCAGATGGAGGAAGGGATGGGAGTAGCGGAGAAAGGGGCTCTTACAGGAAAAGGGGTGTAGGCTGCTATGGAGGCCACAATCACCACGGAGCCACCTCTGGAAAAAGAAGAGAATGACCCTCTTCTCACAGAGACCCCCGCCCTCAGACACGTGGGGCCCGTCACACCCCTGCTCCCTCTCCTCCGTACCCTCGTTTCTCCATCTCCGGCACCACTGCCTTTGTCATCAGGGCCATGGCCTTCACATTAATGCCCAAAATCTGGAACCGAGAGAAGAAGGTGAACAGCATAAGCGGAGAGCTAGAGAGCACAGGGTAAGAGCAGCCATAATAGGTTCTCTCAGACCTGCCCGACGGGGCTGGTGGAGATCTTAGAGATGATTTCCGGGTCCTTACAAGAGACGAAACCAAGGTCCAGAGAGAAAGAAGTGTCTTACCAGTGCGTTCAGTGAGAGGAAGAACATCAGGCTGGGCGAGAAAGCACGGAGCCTGGCTCACCTGTTCCCTAACTAGCCAAGCATGATTCAGCCTAGAACGAACATAGCTCTCAGGGCTACGTTGGATTTGAGCTGGATTTTCTCTGTTTCTTCTCATCAGGGAGAGCCTGGGATTAGGTTGGCCTCCGGGGATCTGCCAGGGAGTGGGCTGTGCTTCCCAGGGACAATAAGCATTCCCGCACTCTGGCTCCGGAGCTCAGGGACTGGGTGCTCCTGGCCTCCAGGATGGATTGTCTGGGGAACATTTGCTGGAAAGTGGGTTTATGAGGAGAAGTGGGATCACTTTGGGGAAGCTGGGACATAGGCTGGAATCAAAACCTCACACCCACAATTTAAAACAAACGCATTGCCACTGCGCTGAGATAGTCCCCTCCCATGGCCCCTGGCAAACTCTTATTTTGAAAAATTTCAATTGTACAGAAAAGTTTAAAAAGAAGTGCAATGGTTATCTTTTTCCTAGACTCATCAATTGTTCACATTTTGTCCCATTTTCCCTATGTTTTTTTCCCGAACCACTGAAAGTTAAGTTGCAGGTGTCATAATGCTCTAACACTAATACTTATGGATAGTCTCACACCCAAGAAATTTAACACCGATAATAATGATTTTACCTAATGTGCTGTCCATAATAACATTTCCCAATTGTCTCCCCTATGTTCTTTTATTTAAAAAAAAAAAAAGTTTTTATTGATTTCAGAGAGAGGAAGGGAAAGGGAGAGGTAGAAACATCAATGATGAGATCATCAATTGGCTGCCTTCTGCACGCCCCCTACTGGGGATAGAGTCCCTAACCTGGGCATTACCCTGACCACGGAATCGAACTGTGACCTCTTGGTTCAGAGGTCGATGCTCAACCTCTGAGCAACAGGCGGTACTCCCATTTGTCCTTATTTGAAAAATGCAAGTTTTAATCAAGAATCAGCCCTGGCATTTAGATTTGATGTACTGTGATATTTCTTTTAAATGCAAACTAAAAA